AAAAAAATTATACGATACAGAAAAACAACCCATCAACAAGACAAGACTTGACAAGACGTTAACCATAGACGTTAACCAAAATTGTGGTTGGTCCTTTCTGGTTTAATTTCAACTACATAATTTTCTTATGGTCAACTAAACTCAAAGTAAACTGAAAGATGGTGCTTGACCAGATGATGTGAAACACTTTTTGTTCATTAACCTTTGGTCTTCGTTCAACCATTTGGTGACTACACCTTGTGAAACTGGGGGTTAGACAAACTTGACTTCCATCTACTTCTGTACTTAAAAAAATACAAGCTGCATACGCGTCGGCACTCGCATTACAGAAGGCATGTAAAGACTATGGGTACCTAGTCGATTGTTTAAAATCTGTAGCTATCCATCGAGGAACTTTAACACTGGTCAAGTATGGCAAATCTTGTAGCCATTTCAAAAATATTACTTGAATTTCTCCAATGACCTCAACGTCCCATCCTAAATTCGAAGGCCATGTCTTCTGGAGTAAAAGTTTGAAACTCAACGTAACTGGGTACGAAAAGCCAATAGGGTCAAACAACTTATGAGTTATGGATAAAATAATTCGTTTGGTTACCTGTCGTATATCGAGCTTATCAAAACATTGTGGTGAAAGTTCCAAAGTGTCTAAATTTCTGTTCCAAACAAATCCAAGAATATTGCTTCTTTCTTCAACTTCAACATACTCTGATAAAGAATACTCCCACGACCCTTCAAATTTACGATCAGCCAAAATTGAATGAATTGATTCAGAGCGTCTTTATTTAACGCTTGCTAGAATGTTGTCAACGTAAACAGACTTCATTTATTTGGAAATAACATCACGACTGTAGATTACTTCTTCGCGTTTTGATTTTTCAAAAGTTTTGTTGGTGGTAGGTAGTCTATAACTGCTCTCAATAGAAAAGGATTGTATGATACTCCAAATACCACTAGTGTCTGTCTAAGTATTTTCAAGTTGTCGTCTTTATCATAACACAGGAACTTTAACAAATTCCGATCCCTTTCTTGTAAGCTGATCTGAAGAAATGTTTTATATCAGCAGTTACTTCATTCTTCTCTGTTCGAAAACGTAAAATCATGGAAAGGATCAATTCAATAAGATTAATACGCTTTTCCAAATATTGATTCCGAGATGGTTGACTTTTTTCTCTTGATGACGCATCAAACACAGGTGTTGTGGCACTATACTAGGTATGTAAACTGTATGGTGTGGCAAAAAATGACCAGACTGACATAAAATTTTAAAAGGTTCGTTATTATCTGGTAATGGTTCTATCACAATCACTCCATCTGCTAACGAATTATCAAAGACTTCATCATAAGCATTGGGAAATATATCTTTTTTCAACTTTTTCATGGTGTTAAGAAGTCTTTTGTATGACGGCAGAGGTGATGAGTGACCTTCAAGCCACGTCATACTTACTTGATATCGTTTATCTTTGTGCTTCAGTGTTGACCAAAAATGTTCTATAACCAATGCTTCATGTTAGGTAGGTCAAAATGTAATTGTAATAATTGTAAGTTGGCTTCAGTATACCTATAAGCGCCTAACCTAGTAATGAATGTATGAACTGCGACCAATCTACACTCTAAATCATGCTTACGTCCCGAAAATACCTTTTTCTGCGATTGACAAGAAATGTCATCATTTTTGACCGGTTGACAGGTCGCAAAACTCATTATTCTGGTATTTCAATTATGTTTCAATAGTTGCTAAGGAATCAATGAATAACAATACAGGAAACACTTTTCCGGCCTAGGCCGGGAAAGTGATTCTCGTACTGCTGAATAATTGGAATTAAAAGACAAACATTTAACAGGTATTGAACCGATCGCAGAAAAAATAGTATGTGTATTTCGGTGGAAAAGCACATTTTCGGCCTTCGGTGTTTGCCGGCCTCGGCTACGCCTCGCCCGTCAACTTACACCGTCGGCCGAGAATGTGTCACTTTTCCACCTAAATACACAATATACTATTCCAGCTATATCAGGGCTTACCAATACATCGATGAGTCCATTCAAAGTATCTGTTATCTTGATCCCCATTTCTTTTAGTTGATCTAACCAGGGTCCTCTGTAACAGAACTAACATAGTTACAAATCAGTGGCTGTGTCTAAGGGCTAATCCAAAACTTCAAAATTACAATAGTAATTTTCAGTTAGACTATACAGACGAACCTTGTAGCATATGTGATGTACAGTTTCAGTTTGACTTCCTTCGAAAAGTGAGTGAACTAGATGTTCCTCTTTAGTCGGTTTGTAACCTAGTTCTTCAGCCAACTTTTTTGTTATATATGTCTCACTTTACAGGATTCTCTCCCTCCTTTCAAATCAACAACCATGGTTTGCAGAAAAACTTCAAGATAGGTGTGGTTACTGAGATTCTGTTTATTGGTTTTGGAATTTTGATCTTTAGCATTCGTGTTATTGAAGTTTGAGGATTTAATATTTTCTTTCGGGCACATAACTTTGCAATGTTTTCCTTGACAGTTAGGACATTTTGCTTTTGAATGACACTTCCAGAAAACATTGCCAAAACCTGTACTGTACAAGAATGATAACAAGCAGCATTTGACAACTTTTGTTTTCGTTCGGCAGAAGTGAGTATCAAGGCTTCTTAACATTGGTCAGAAAAATTAAATCTTCCCCTCCACATCGTGAGTGACCTTTATTGAACAATTCAGAAGCTGTTGGAACAATATTACTATTCATTTGTTTATCTTCAGGCTTCCGCCTATCTTTAAAACTGGATACATCATTTGTCTTCATTCACCATGAGTCTGAGAAAATCTATCAAGGTGTCAAGACGATTCTTTAACCTAGAAGCGTCTGAGTAAAGCTGACTTCGGTGCCAAGCTTGTATCAGATCTTCTGCTAAACAGAACTCTACTAACGGATAAAGCATCGCAGCACAAGCATCCGATTGTATTCCTAAAGTTTCTAGGGCTCTTAACTGAGGCTCGATTTTGTCAAAAAATGTTAATAATCTATTTCTTGTATTGAGATTTGTTAAGACCAACTTAAGAAATTTTCTCACATAAACTTCTATTAACAGATCTTCTTCCGAATCTCTGTTTCACACTGTCAATTGCTTTAGCGTAGCCGGGTAACTTTCAACCAGCTGTCTAGCTCGAGAACCTGAAGTCGTAGCCTGCACTAAATATTGCAGCTTATTTTCATCTTCTATGTCAGAATCTTCATCAATTCGACTAAATTGTTCCCAAAAACTAAGCCAACTCTTGATGTCTCCTCCAAACTGTCTGAATTCAATTTTGAGAAGTTTTAGTTTGGATTTAAATTCTGATCTCTGAGAGCTTGTATCTTCCTTAGACATCTTATCAAAGTTAAATTTGATTTTGTGGTCTCTAAAGTTCAACTCATCCATGACTTTTACTGCAGAATTCATACTTGCTGCCTAGTTAACTGAGTTTAGCATCAATTCCAACATAAGTTGATTCAATTCGTTCAGCTGAAGCATTTTATCGTCCAAAACTCTCATACTACTATGTACATTACTTAAATCGTACCTTTCTTTGGACATTTCATCTTCTACTTTATCACAGATCCTTGTAAAAGCTGTCCGTAGTTCTAGGGCTTTCTTGGTTTTCTCCATACTTGCAATGGAAGTGTCCTGTCACGGTCGCCAAATGTTAAAGCTGATAATGACTTTTATCCTCAGAGTCCACCTCTTTCAAGTACAGCTATACCTTTGCAGCAAGAGCCTATACTACTTACAAAAATACTATTATTTTAGGAACAACGTGACAACTTTTTATCATTCAATGATCACTGTCATTTCCCTGACATATTCACAAAAGTCTGGTGGTATATATCAATAGTATATAACAATCCGAGAAATAAATAAATAAATAAATTCGTGACAACCAAATAAATGAGGTCGGGAAATGAGGACGGGGAATAAGGACGGGAAATATTTCCCTGCTCCATTTTCCGTCCGTGGACGGGAAATGAGGACGGAAAAGATTTCCCGTCCTCATTTCCCGTCCTGGGACATGTAATGGACCAGGAAAATGAAAGGACAGAACTGTGACATTTTCAAATTTTTTAATAGTCAGTAATGACAACATTTCATATATGGTTAAAAATAAAAAATCTAAAAAGAATAAAGGGGTTTCTAACAAAATCATACTACTTGGTACAACCGAGCCTAAAAGTGAATAATGGTTTATGTATTAGAAAGAGATTCAAAGACGTTTTTGAGACATCTCGTTGAAGACGTCTTTAGAATGTCTTAATCCTGAAGACTTCAAATGGCAGACGTCTAAAAAACGTTGGGTTTTGTAACATACGATGTTTCAAGATGTCTTTAAGATGCCTTAAAGATGTAAACAAGACGTCTTCAATGTCGTTTGTGGGCTTCTTTAAGAAGTCGGTATGCTGCTGTCTGGGATTTGTCCTTATTGTGTATTTAGGTACACAACATTGAAAGACTGGACTTGATTCTTGAAGATCCAATTTATTCAAAAGAAACTCCAAGCTTAGACCATTAAATTCAATTAATTTCCATAGAGGATCTTTGACAGAGACTCACAGAGACTGCCATTATTTGTTTAATTATTTTAGCCAAAGAATAATTTTAGCTCACCACTCAACATGTCACCCATCGGATGATGACTGAAAAGGTGCCTTATCTTACGTTTACAATAAAGTGTTAAGCGCGTACATTACAGTCCTCTAAATCTTTTTCAGCATATTTCCCCGTTTTCTTATAGTCTCTGCAAGTTCCCTGGTCTCTAGAACTTCAGTTTTCTTAGCTTACAACTTCTCTATCTTTTAACTATGTTACTATATAAACCCCAAGAATTTCAATTTCATACGGGATATGTAATAAAAAAGTTGAGAGTGAACTCTGTTTAAGTTTTATTATAAAATTTTCAGCTTTGAAGGCTCTTGAATATACTCCAATGTTCGACAAGAAGAATCAAAATAAAACTTTAAAAATTATATTTTTCTTCCAGGTCGAAAGATGACGCTCCGATCGCACCTGATCGTCGCCGACGACTCCAAATCACCGGCAACACTGTACAGCTCGCTCTGGATAACATCCAGAGGGCGGATGCTGGAATCTACAGGTAATCTCTTAATTTGCATATAATGAATTGTTGAAATTAGCTGCACAAAAGCTAGTCAAATTTTCCTAGAAGAGAAATTTCCCTATGTATCGCTGTATTCATCTCATTTAGGGTGACTGCAACATCGCCCACCGGTACGACCTCGCGCGACCTCGAACTCCGAGTCGGCCAAGGACCGGATCCAGATTTAGACGACGAACCTCCAGCCTTCCTCAGGCGACTACACGACCTCTCGGTAAAGGTCGGCACGAGGACGAGGTTCCTGGTGGAAATACGAAGCAATTCCGATGTCACGGTGAGATTAATTCCTTACCTATAAGGATCGGTTTCGGATAATCAATTAAGATAAATCTGGATGGACAGTGATTCATTAGAGACATAGTTATTATGTAAACGAATTTGGCATAGATTTGTGGCATTTAAAAAAACTACACACACACATACACACATGTTGATGTTATGGTTGTTTTAAAATAAATGCTGACCGAGTCTGTTCGAGATTTATTTTTAGCGCGGCTTTTAATTTACCAGTAGCGTCCTCTTATAAATCAAATTATTGTATATTCTTTAGATAAAATGGTTGAAAAACGATCAACCAGTAAATGAAGGCGAAAGATACCGATTGGTAAACGAAGGCGGGTTCCATTGCGTGGACGTGGCACCAGTAACAAACGAAGACTCTGGAAAGTGGATCTGCGAGGCGCGAAACCTGGTCGGACTGGCCAGCTCTAGTTGTTACCTCAATGTACTTGGTAAGAACCAAGAAACGCATAAACACCAGCTGCAACATGAATTCTTTCAGTACCTAAAACCTACAAAGCTCCAGAATTCATTGAAGGCCTCAAAGCCATCCTCACCGACCAAGGTACCGTTGCTCTCGAATGCAAGGTAGTTGGAGTACCAACGCCGCTCCTACGATGGTTCAAAGATGGCAAAGAAATTCGACCGGGAGACGTGTTCGCGCTTACAGTGGACCCCAACGAAGATCCCACATCGCTGGGTACTTACCTGTGCGAAGCTACCAATTGCATGGGTACTTCTACATCTAGCTCTAGAGTACACGTAGTGGAATCTTCAAGTAAATCGAGGATAACAGGAAGTCCGATACCTATAGGACCTCCACCGATATTTATACGAGATTTGACAAACGACGAAATTAAAATTGGCGATCCTTTATGTTTATCTTGTCAAGGTAATAATAACAAAATTTCAATGATCAAATAAACAAAATTGAATTTTTCTAGTGTCTGTACCTCCTTGGCCCAAATCAATAAGTTGGTACAACTCGCAAGGGAAAATTGACGAGCAAATTCCCAACAGCAGGTAAATAAGTACTTTAATAAATCTACATTCAAATTCCTACAACATATTGTTTAGGTATAAATGCTTGGCAGATGGTATAGGAGGATACATGCTGGAAGTGCGCCCAACAGAAGCCGAAGACCAAGGCGAATGGAAAATTGTAGCTACCAGCTCAGAAGGCGCCATTTCCATTTCAACGTGTGATATAAATATGATAAGTAAGGCCAGCAACTCTTTAAACAATCAGTTCTAAACAACTATTATTTTCTAGTTCCAAAACACTTTAAAAAACCAAGATTCTTGGACACATTAAAGGCAGTATTAACCGAAGAAGGTTTAGTATCTTTCGAATGCAAAGTAGTTGGTTCGCCAACTCCATTACTCAGATGGTTCAAAGACGGCCAAGAATTGAAACCAGGAGACGTTTATCAGTTAACAGGCACCAACTCTTTAGGCTCGTATTGTTGCATAGCTAAAAACTGCATGGGTGAAGCTCGTAGCTCAGCAGAATTAACCGTAGAAGACATTGAAAGTCAGCTGAGTGACGAGGAAAGAGCTCAGCTGATATCAGCTAGTCAAGCTCCTAAATTCCTACACGGCTTGCAAAGTAACGAAGCAAAAATCAATGAAAACTACAGATTTACTATACATGTCAGCGCCACAACACCCTTAGCAACTCTGGCTTGGTATAAAGATGACCAGCCAGTGGAAAACGACCCAGAAAAATACACAGTAGTCAGAGATCATTTGGGAATTTGCCACTTAGATATAAGACAACTAGAATTCAATGATCAAGCTGAATGGAAATGTGTAGCCACCAATGAATTCGGACATTCAGTAACGTCATGCTTTCTAAGACTAATCATTCCAAAACACTTTAAAAAACCTAAATTCTTAGAGTGTCTTCGTGCAGTACTTTCCGAAGAGGGCGCAGTCAATCTAGAATGCAAAGTCATAGGAGTACCGCAACCGACCCTCAAATGGTACAAAGACGGTGTAGAGCTCAAACCCGGCGACATACATCGTATAACTTCAGGCGAAGATGGTACTTGTTGCCTGGGTACTTACACTTGCGAAGCTAGAAATTGTATGGGGATTGTAGCTAGCTCTGCCTCATTGTTAGGCTTTGAAGATCAAAAAGCTAGACATCAAGAGCGTGTAGAGTTAGCCAGAGAACCATCGTTGTCTACTATACATGAAGAAAGAACGTCACAAATGTATGATACTGCTGGAGATCAATCGTTGACGATTGGTACTGGAGAAGTATCATTTTCGTTTGATGGTAAAGAAGTTTCAGTGTCCTTATATGAAACTCCAGATTTAACTGAAGAAGAAGCATTGCAAATAGTTGAAATGTATGCCGAACAATTGTCTGAGCAAGTCTCGGAACACAACATTGTTGAATTGCCTCCGTTGAGATTTACCAAAGAGTCTTCTACTTCTGGCAATTTATTAATGGAAGCTGTAGTTGTAGACGTTTCAGATGACTATTTTGTAGCTGCAGAAGAAGATTTGAGAACTGAAGCCGACGTGGAAGACATTTGTTCTATAACAGAGCACCTCACTTCGGAGAAACTTAAAATTGATCTCACTTCTAGCAGTGGGGAAACTCCTAGAAGACCACCAAGAAAAACAGACTCACAAAAAAGCCAAAGTTACTATAGTCTTTCGAAAAATATTTCTTTGGATTCTAATAACGAGAGTCTTGCAGGAGCGGCTGAGTTGGACAGTGAGAGTTATGGTGACTTTGAAAGTGCTATGAGTTCAGAAAAGAATCAGCTTGAAGAAGATAATATGGCCTTCCAGGTAATAATGAAAAAAATAATGAAATATTTCTTCAAATACAAAATCCTAGGTTGCTGCAATAACCGAAACCACAAGTCTCCCAGATGACGACGCATTACAAGACGAAGCTAGAAGGCCACTAACCCCAAGAACAACTCACGAAATTGGCTCAGATTTAAGAGTCAATCTAACCGAGAGTCAAGAAATTAAGAGACGCAAAAGACGAACTTCACAAAGCTCAGATGAAATATCCAAAGACGGTTTTAGACGGGGAACTTTACGACAAGCCGCTAGCTTGGACTTGCCAGATGCTCAACGTGATTTGCAAGGAGAAGAAGGAGATGGTATGAATTGTCAATGTATTATATTAATCATATTTTTTTTTAAATACATATTTTTAGGTCTTGTAATAGATCCAGAAGTACGCGAAGCAAAAGAAAAGGACCTAAAACAAGAAGAATCTTACGTCATAGCACAACTAAAGCAATCCTTGGACAATCTTCAAATGAAACTTTCCACGGTCCTAGAAGATATTGTGGCTCAGTCAGCTTTAAAGTCCACTTCAGCTGCAGCTGACAGAAGCTTGGACGTTCTCAAAAGCATCACGCAACCTATTCAGGACATCCAAACTGTATTTGAAAGTTTGGACCAAAAAGAAGCTGCGGAAATATCCATAGTTGAGCTTTTGGCTCCACCAATTTTTGATTTACAAAAGAGCCTTGGGCTTGTAGAAAAATGCGTCGCAATGAAAGGACGCGAGCATACGTTGATCCAGAAAACTTGCAATAATATTTTAGAGAATGCTGGTGTTGATTTGTTGGAGAGTTTGGAGAGTGTTGAGAAGATCACTTTGTTGGAAAAGGAATTGGATAGAACCAAGGTAATAAATGTCATTATTAGGGAGATTGTGTTTAAATAGTGTGCTTTTAGGCATCTGGAAGGATAACTCCTTCAAAAATAATTCAGGAAGTTTGCATTACTTTGAAAGAAATCAAAAACGAGTTAAGTAAGTCTGAGTTGATTATAAAAGAAGGCAAATTTGCACAGAAACAGGAAGTTTCTAGTACTTCTGAGTCTGTGGTAAAAGATGTCAATATTTTGTCCAAGTTTTTAAATCCAACTTTACAGATCAAAGGTAAATACTAATATAATAAGTAGGTATATTTTATTTATGTAAAAATTATTTTAGAAAATCTGGAAAGTCTGGAACGTACTATCGCCTACGAAGATTCAGACACAATGTACACTCACCTAGGCGAAGTTATTCTAGAAAAACTTGGAGAACCAATAAAAACCCTTTTAAAAGAAACCAAAGAAACTGAAAAACAAGCTATGCGCTTCGCTGGAGAAAAATCCGTAGCTCAAGAGCTACGTCTTGCTATCCTAGACAAAATATCCACTCCAGTGAGTGAAATATCCAGAGGCTTGAACGTAATCAAGAACCAAGAACCGGGAGACCGGCACTCCGGAGTGATTTGCATAAACGTCCTGGAAAACTTTGCAGGAGCTATTGAAGACGTTCTGGGAGCTCTGATTAAAATCCAGGCAAACGTTGGCTCTCCAGAGTCATCAGAGCCGAAAGAGGAGATTTTCAAAGACGTTTTTGAACGAGTTAGCGAGATTGTGCTTACTGATACGTCACAGGCAGTTGGAGACTTGTTGTTCAATATAGAAACAGCTGAGAGGAATATCAGTAATACTACAATTTTGGAAAGCTTGAGACAATTGGCAACGTTACAAAAGGAATTGGCTGCAACTGTTACAAAAGTAAGTACTAGTATATCAAATAAATCTTGGATTATATTTGTTTAAAATTTCTAGGTTAATGAACACATAAACGAAGCTACAATATCAGCTTTGGAGAATCTTAGCCAACACATTAACCTACTTAATAACTTCCTTATGGATCTAACTCCATCTAGTGACGTGTCAGCACTAAGAGAATGCGGAGCTGTTTTAAACATCCTAGAAGAAGGAATTGTCAATGACGAAGCTCTATTGGAACTGGAGGAAATATTTAGCAGCCTAAAAAACAGAGTGAATTCAGTGCGCAGCAACATCCTGGAATTACAAGAGCAGCCACAAGAAGTTGCAACCACATCTGTTGTGATTTTGGAAGAGTCCTCCGAAACAGTGGTTCCTGAAGCAATTTTAGAAGACACCAAAAAGACGTTGACTGATTTGCAAAGAATATCTTCTAATCCTGGAGCCAGGATTGTATTGGATCCTTTGTTACCGCATGCGATAGCTCTTTATGAGATAACTAATGAGGAGTTATTGAGGAAGAATAAAGAAGAACTTACTGAAGAAGATAGGGCACGTTTACAGCATTGTGTGGTAAGAATTATCGAATTGAATAGATTTGTAGGTAATATACTTCTACAATTTGTATAGCTTCCTCTTGAGATTATTGAAGACAGAATAATCGAAGCACTAGATTTCGTCATGCTAACTCCTGCAATACCACAACGATCAGACCTCAAAACACTCCTGGAACATCTCCAATATAACGTGGCAGTGATGCACCAACAAGTTATGGATGAAACCCACACAGGTGATTCCTCAGATAGTTGCCTGGATAATTTGAAAAAATCGATTGAATCAATACAAAATTTATCTGTGATGACTGAAGAAGAGTTTCTTCAAAATCCTGAAACCGGAAAGATTCTAGTCGAAAACGTAGCTCATTTGGAAAGGAGTTTGGGCATGCTTTATGAGACTGCCATGTCGCAAGGCATGGACCAAGTACCTCCAGAATTATTTCAAGTGGCCTCAGAAGTGACTCAATGCGTTGACCAGCTGAAACAATCCCCATTATTCGAACAACAAGATGAACCAATAATAACCATAGAAGATATTGCTCAGCTACACACTCTAACACCAGTTTTAGCTAAACTCAGCAACACTATCGATAATATCCAGCAAGATGACGAACTGAGACGTGAAGCTTTTATAGCTATCCGTCAGCCTTTAATTCAAATAGCTGAAATACTCGAACACGTGCCAGAAGACTTGAAAATCAAGCTGTTCACTCTACACCAGCCCCTTCAAAATGCTATAGAGATTATTAGCTTAGAACAGCATAATTTTGATATAAAAATTGAAGACTTTGAGCAACTTAGAGCTATTGGAGATGTAGTTTCTGAGCTAGTTGAAAGTATTATAAACAAAAGCAATTTCAATGAAATAGCTCAAGAGCTAGCATCAAAGAATTCTAATTTGATTAATGTTTTGGATAACGTTGAAACTTTAAGCCTCATGGATATAGCTTATTCGATACGAGAGTTTGCTGATTCAGTTGAGCAAGTTACTCAAGGATTTGCCAATGAAGAATCAATTATGGAAGAAGAAATTTGCTTTAAAAGTTTAGAGCCTTTAAGAAACACTCTAGAAAGTCTTAAAGTAGCCAAAAATCTTGATCAGCAACAAGCCTTGATTACTGAAATGTCTGAGGTACTAAGAATAGTTGCTTCAAGTGATATTCAAGAAGAAAATATTGAAGCAACTGATAATGCTTTAAATAAGTTAAGTAAGGCCGCTGAAATCGTAATCAACAAAGAAGAACTTCCACTAGAAATTCTTCAAGATACTTTACAGGGCCTTGATGATAGCCGTAGGGTTATAGCTCCACTTGTAGTACCTATTCAAAGAGTCACAAGGACTTTAACAAAAGTTTTATTGGAGATACTCGATGAGAAAACGTCTGCAACTAAAAGTATTGACGATTTACGAAGTACCATTGTTTTAGTTGAAGCTACAAGCTCAATTACTAAAAAACAGGCTATCATAAATGAGCTGAATATTGTCTTGAAAACTATTGAATTTGAAAATGTTAAGGCAGAAGAATTAGTTGAAATGGTTTCAATAGCTTTGGCAGAAGTTGCAGTAATGGAACCTTTGACTGTGGAAATCATAAATAGTTCTGTTGAAAAGATTGATTCGGTATTGGAGAGTATGGAGCCTCAACAACCTTTGAGTGTAGCTCTGGAACAAATCAAAACTATCCTAATTGAAGAAGCTGAAGTTAAAGTTATTAAGGAACGTAGACAGAGAAGGCTTGAAAAAGTAAAAGCCTATGTTATAGAATTGGAAATCGAAGATATTCAAGTTCCTTTGATAGAATCGATAAATAATCTTATAGATAATGCCCAGAAAGCAATATTGAACGAAGATTTACCAAATGAGCTGGATATTGTTTTGGAAACTGTCGAAGAACTAGCTCAATCTATTTCTGAAAAAAGAGAAGTTAAAGAGACTATGGAAAAAGCTAAAGTTGTTTTAGAAACTGTGATAGTATCACCAGAATTCATGCCAGAAATTTTAGCTCTAAATTCAAGCATTTCCCAAGCATTGATGCCTAAGGAAACATTTAAAGCCTCTACCGAACAAATCATCAAATGCTTAGAGCTACTTAGAGCAGAAAATATTGAACATAGTTTAGTCAATGAGCTTCAACAGGTTCAAGAAGTCTTGGATGAAAACAATTTTGAGAAAATCGAAGAGAAAGTTGCCATGGAAGAATTTTCAGGTATTATAGCTGATGCTTTAAGTTACGTGCTACCATCTACTGACGCAAATGTAGCTGAGTATTTGATAGAACATTTACAAGAATCTGCTCCACTGATGTTTAAGTCTTTAATAGAGAATTTAAAAGAATTTGCCAAAGCTAGGATTAAGCATAACGTTATAAACAAATTAGGAACTACTTTAAAAGAAGCTCAAGAATTGAACATAGAAGATCAAATAAAGGAATCAATTGTAAAGGAGTTGATTATGATTGTTTCAACTATTGATTTGGATATTAAGGAGATTTCTTCTAAAAATATTAGCAATGATGAGCTCAATTACTTGGTAAAGGCTCAAGAAATTATTTCAAAGATCAACGAATTCATTAATAATGAGTCAACGTCAAGTGAACAAATTTTGGATGAAATTACTGAGTTTTTAAATGGCAACCAGATTGAATCAACAGCTGACATAATTCAGCACACCAGCTTACTAATATCACAAACCCAAAACACCTTAAAACAAGCTAAACAGCTTGAAGCTGATCATTTCAATGTGAAACTCCAAAAAATCGAAAAAGTTTCAGAGTCTGTGCAAACCTTGGCTAGAAATATAGCTGCAATAAATGCACAAAAAGAACGTGTTTTAGCTGTGCAAAAATCCTTGTATCCTCTACAGATGTATTTTAATGATCTTATTGGAGCTAATTTAAGTGAAACTGACTTGAAGATTTTAGAGAATTTAACTGAAGTATTTGAGGATATTAACGCTTTTATCAAAGCTCCTCAAGATAAGGAACAAGTTAAAGTACTTTTGAATGTGTTGATTGAAGCTACAAAAACTGTAGAGCAAAATTCGACTGTTGGAAATATTACTGGTTTATTCAATACTTTGATAGAAGAGCTTCCAGCTATTGCAGAAGATCTATGGAAAGTTCAAGGGGAGAAGGTAAAAGAAAATATGGCCAAATTGTGCTTAGTGGAAGAAGACTTAGATTTAGTCAAAGATAAATTAGAAAATTATGAGGCAAAATGTGAAGCTTACTTAAGTCAAGATGAGAAGGAGATTATTGGAGATTCTAGAATGCTCATAGAAAAAGTACAAGAAGCATTTATAGAAAAGAAGGAGCTAAATGTTGAAGAGGAAGCGAAAAATGTGGAAACCAAGTTGGAAAATAAACAAGGTCCTGTGGTTACCATGTCGAGGAATATTTTGGAGATTTGTAGGAGAGTGGCTGGATATTTGAAGAGAGAAATTGAAGAAAAGGCAGGAGCGATAAAGGTAGAAGAAAAAATAGTTGTCGCTTCAAAAGAACAAGATGGTATCGAAGAAACAGTAAGGGCTTCGGGATCTTCAGAAGAAGCAGGTTTAACAGTGATAGAAGTTTCAGCTGTAGCTTCAACAGAACTTCGAGAAGGTACTAAAGAAGCAGAAATTGGATCTCCAGCTGTGACCTTACAAGAAATTTCTAAGGAAGTTGCAGAAGAAATAGCAGCAGATGATACACGAAAAACTGAAGTACTTCTAGAAGAAGTTGAAGGAAAAGAAGCTGCAGTGCTAATTGAAAAAGCTTCAGAAATTGTTGAAATAGACAGTCTACAATCACAAATAGCTGGAGTCGAAACAAAAACTGACTCAGGCGAGAGTGAAATAAAAATTGAAGCTAAAGACGCTGATAAAGCCGGAGGATCTGCACAATTACTTACAGAACGAATGGTTGAAGATACCAAAGCGTCTGAAGAGCAAATTAAAATCGAAACAGATCAAAAAATTGAAGAAATCAAAGGAGCTGGTACCGAAGGAAAAATTCTGGAAGCTATCAAAGAACCAGATCCTGCTAAGATAATGGAGAGTGATCAAACAATTGAAGGGACAAGTTCTACAACTAGCAAAGACTCTCAGAGAATTGAAGATTTTAAAGAATCACCCACTGTTGAAGAAAAAATTGTAGAAACTGTAAAACCTGAAGCAAAATCGGATGATGATCATAAAGTCGAAACTGCTACTAAGGGCGATGAAAAAGCTGAGACATCTCAAAAAATCAAAGAAATTGAAACACCTGCTTCCATTATCGAAGAAATTCCAGCATCTCAAATAATTTCAGATATGCTGGAGAAACCTACAGAACAAGCTGAACCTTCAGAACAAGCTCAAACTTCAGAACCCCAAAAATCCGACTCAAAACAAGACGAACCAGTCCTCACTTCACTCAAATCTCTCAAAGTAGCAATTACCTTAATCGAACAGCAACCTCTATCAGAAGAAAAACGTGCTGCAGTCAAAGAACTTGAAAAATCCATTACAACAGACACTGAACATCTCCAAACTGCCTTACAAACTGTAGATCTACAACAGCTGACGCCACAAGAGCAAAGTGCTTTAGTAGTTGCTGAAGAAACTTTATCAGAAATTTACAATTTGATCGGTAACAGCCAAGAAGCGGCAGCTGAACAAGTTGTAGAAGCGGCAACAATTGAAACTACTAAAAAAATGATTGAAGACTTACGTTTAGCTGTTGTGGCCACACCAAAAGACTCTAAAATACGTGAAGTGATAGAGCCTTTGGAACAAACAATGAAAAACGCTGTTAATCTAATGGAAACCATTGCTATTGAAAAAGACTTCAAGCACAAGCTATCAGCATCAATTAAAGTAATACAAGAAGCAGTTTCTAGACTAAAAACAGCTGGAAAACTTTCTAAAGCAAAACTCAGCAATATAGCTAACATCGAAGCTGCGTGTTCTAAATTACTAGAAAGCCTGGAAGGTCTACAAGTCCAAGTTGACGTAGAACAAAAAGTCGTTGACCTAGCGAACGATTGCTTAGGTATTGGAAACGAATATTTGGAAATTTTTGCCAAGAGACCATTTACAACCAGAGTTCCTAGCAAAAGTATTTCAGAAAAATCCCAAGAGTTCAAAGTAGCCATACAAAGCGTACCAAAAGACTCAAACTTGGTTCAACTGAGAGACATAATTGAAAGCCTTGTGGACAACGTTCTAGGATTATTGAAGCCTGAAACCCCTCCACCAAGCATCCCTTGCAAACCTCTACAGTTCTTACAAAACTCTTTGAGGAATTTGCAAGAGTCTCTAAGCATTTCGGAGCCAAGTTCTGAAAATAGATCCAGAAAAATCCTTGTAGCTGAATTGCAAAGACCTGTAACCACTCTTCAGTTTATTGCTAGTACAATTTTAGAAGAGAAAAAAGATAGATTAGGAGCTTCTGATATAAATATCCTCAAAAGCGCTAATGATGTTATCAATAAATTATTAACAATTGTGGAGGAAATCGAATATAAGCCTTCAAGCGACCAAGTATTGATTGTAGACGAATGTAGAGACCAATTAAAAACTCTATTAGCTTGCATTAATCAAGAATCACAAATAAAAGACTTTATAGATCCACTACAAGATTTTTTGAAGAGTGTTGAAAAGGCGTTGGAGAAGGCTTTAATTAATGATCAAGAAGAACGTGAAAAGAAGCAAAGAGTATTGAAAGGGCTTAATAAGGCCTTGGAGAAGCTGGATTTGAAGCTACAAGAGGTAGAGCAGCCAGAATTGAAACTTATTGTATATCAAGAGCTTCAAAAGCCCTTGAGAAGTATTATAGATACGATTAATCAAGAATCTATTGTATCAAATCAAGAGTTGGATAGTTTACAGAAACTGGCTGAAAATATAGAAGAACTTAATGATAATTTCAATGACAATTTAAGCGAAAAGCTTCAAGCTTTACATGAAAACTTATCAGACATTATATCAATTAATGAACAAGCTAAAGACCTCAAAGCTCCTGAAGCTCCTCAAACTCTAGCTGAATCAATAAATGAACCTTTAGAGGAGCTTCAAAGAGCTTTAGAGCTGACTCATGTAGTGAATAAACCTAAAACGCTTGAAGACATTAATGCTTTAAAACAGCTAAACAATGCAGTTAAAGAGTTGCTGAGTTTTGTCGTAGTTGCCAAGCATATAACTGAAGGCAACATGAACTTGTTCAGTAATTTTGTAGAACCTTTAGAAGACTTGCAAATAGCTTTAAGTGATTGCTCAGAAGCCAAAATTAAAGACGAAGAGTTGAGCATTTTAGAAGCAATCGCCATTCGTTTGAAGCAAATTTATAAGTCCAGAGAGGCTTTTAAGGATTTGGACATTGAAAATTTCTCCGAAGATATTGACGATCTGCAAAACAAATTGATAACAGTTTGCATGAAGGCTGTTTACGTAGCTGATAAACAAAAATCAATATTGCAGAAGCTTCTTAGGCCTTTAGAGAATATTTCCAAGGCGGTGGTAGTGATGCAACGTGAACTGGCTTCGAGAAATGCTTTGAAGAAGATTTTGAACAAATTTGTAGCTAGTAGCCAGAAAATTGAAGACAAAAGTATTAGAGAATCTATTCAAAAGGTTTCCGAAGCGTTCCAAGAGCAAACCAATCCAGAAACTGCTTTACAAGTTGTAGAAGCTTGTAGATCTCAACTACGGGAATTATTAACTTCAATTAAATCTTCAAAGATTGCTTCAGTTGCTAATTTACAGGGTTGTGTAGATGAATTATTGAGGCAACCACTCGAGTGTATCAGTATAAATCATTTATACAAATTAGTAGATTGTATAGTAGATTTAACTGTAGTAGAACCAAGTGCAACTTCAGTGCAAGAAACTATAGAAATCATGAAAACCAACCTAAAGTCTGTTGAAAAAGCTATTGTAGAAGAACAACCTGAAGCCTCGAAGGCTGCAGTAACAATTTTAGAGCTTAGAGAGCCTGTCAAGTCACTAGAAGACAATATAATTGATATTTTTGATGCTGAAATATTGCAAGGAGTGCAAACTTCATTAGAAAAATTATCTAAAATTATTTTAACAGTAGAAGCAGTTCTACATAAGCCTGCTGTAACAAAAGTAGAACAAGCAGAACTCAAAAAAGCTATACAAGGCTTTAAAGATGCTATTGAAGTTATTGAAGCCCAGCCTGAATCACAACTTCAAGTTGTGGAACCTTTAAAAGCCTTACAAGCTAAAGTAGAAGAGCTAGATGAAGAGTTGTTGGTGGAAACTTCTGCTGGAAAAGATTTGAGTATTTTGAAGGACAATCAAATAGAGACTTCAAAATTGTGTGGCCTCATCAAAGATGTATGCAATGAAGGCTCTAAATTAGAGGTATTTTTGGAGCTTCTGGAGCCGTTGGACTATTTACAAGATTGCCAACAGAATCTACTTAACCTTATAGGGGGTGAATTGGTAGAAGACCTCAAGGATGATGAAAAATCTAATTTGAGCAACATCAGTGTGGAATTTAAGAATTTGTTTCAAATTGTAGATGAATTGAGTTTCGAAGCTGAGAGAAAAAATGATAAGGTTGTTGTAGAGCTGGAGCAACTTAAAAAAGCTGTAGTGGCAGTTAAAAATTCTACAAGTGCAACTTTGGAGTATATTCAAGAGCCTGTGAAGCTGTTGATTGTTAAAATAGATCATGTGATTGAAAAACTCAATGGGGAAATCGTTGTAGAAGCTGTAGGAGATAAAGAAGTTGTAGAATCTAAGAAAACTGGAGTTGTGCTAGAAGCTTTAGAGACCAAGGAAGTTGCAGAAGCCAAGGTAACGGAAGAACAGCCTCTGGGACATAGAGAAGTTGTTGAGTCCAAGAAAAATGAAGTTTTCCCATCAGAGACTAAGGAAACGGAAGGAGAGGAGGATAAGGTACCTATAGTTACCAAGGAAACTGAAGAAGGTACTGAGCAAACTGTAGAACTTCAAGAAGTGGTAAAAGCGAAGCAGGCTACGGAGTCTAAAGTCGCAGATGCTAAGAAAGTTGAGAAAGATACTGAAAAAAGTAAAGATGTTGATGTTACAGAGACCCAAAAAGCTGCACAAATAGATATCCAAAAACTGGCAGAACCCCTAAAAATCCTTTCCCAAGAAATACAACTTCTAAAACAAATAAGCCAAGATCAACAGCTCTCGCCACAACAAGGTGTTTTATCTATAATCGAAATAGCCGAGGCAGTCGACAATTTAGAAGCCGCAGTTGAAAATGAAGCTGTAGACGTGAAAACCCTTGAAATAGCTCCTGCACTAGAAAAATTCAGTCTTTTGTTAAGGCAAATATCAGCGGAACCTCAAAAAACTCTAAAAATAGAGCTACCTAAAGTCCATCAAGCCACATTAGCACTAAAAGAGGCTATAGAAAAGGTGGTCAATCCCAATTTGGTTGGTACTAAATTCGAAGTTGTTGAGTTGGCCTTGGAGACTTTAACAGCCAAATTGGAACACGTTGAAGCTGATTTGTCTGTAGCTGAAGCAAAAGAGTCACTGCTAGAACCCATAAAAGTAATTTCTGAAGAAATAAAGATTCTTAAACAACAAACTGAAGATTTACATATCAAACCTCAACAAGGCATTTTATCAATCGTCGAAATTCAGGAAGCTATAACTAACTTACAGGATTCAATTTCACAATCTACTGAATCCGTAGAAGAAATCGTTGAAATCAAAGAACCCTTGGAAAAATTGGGCATTTTATTAAGACAAATTTCCAATGAGCTTACTAAACCAGAGATCAGTGAAGTCAAATTACCAGAGCTTCACCATGCAGTGGTAGCTTTGAAAAAGTCTTTACACATTGTGACAATTAAATCAAAGTCTTGGAATATTATTGAAGTCTCTTTACAGGCACTTGCAGCTACTTTAAGTCACGTAGAAGGAGAGTTAGCTGCAAAAATGCCTTTGAATATGCTAGCTCAAGAAGTGAAGCTACTAAAACAAAAGAGTGAGGAGCTGCAGCTCAAACCGCAACAAGGAGTATTGTCTATTATTGAAATAGCTGAAGCTGTAGATAATTTAAAAGCCGCTATTGAAGCTTCGCCTGAAATAATGACTAAACTTGCTGAACCAGTTGAAAAATTGACAATGCTTATAAAGCAAATATCTACAAATATTCAACAGCCTGGTGTTGTAGAAGTTAAGCTGCCAGAAGTTCAACAAGCTGTATTGGCACTTAAAGAAGCAGTTGAAAAAGTATCATGTGAAGCTACAAATATAGACGTTGTAGAAATATCACTTAAAGCATTAGTGGCAACTTTAACTCAAGTTGAAGAAGATTTAATTGCAAAACTGCCTCTGACAATGCTGTCACAAGAAGTGAAGCAGTTAAAGCAAAAAAGTGAAGAGTTGCAGCTGAAACCGCAACAAGGAATTCTGTCTGTTATTGAACTAGCTCAGGCTGTAGATGATTTGGAAGTTGAAATCAAAGGTTCTCCTGAGCTTGCTGAACCAGTTAAAGAGTTAGCTGTTCTTCTAAGGCAAATATCTACAAATATTCAACAACCTGATATTATAGAAGTTAAACTACCAGAAGTTCACCACGCTATATCCGCTTTAAAAGAAGCAGTTGAAAAGGTCTGTTGTGAACCTGCTAAACTAGATGTGGCGGAATTATCACTTCAAGCTTTAACAGCCACTTTAACCCAAGTTGAAGCCGAATTGACTGCAATTAAGTCACCCATTGAAAAAATTTCACAAGAAGTTACGCTTCTGAAGCAAAAAATTGAAGAATATGCAGTTGAACCAAAACAAGGAGTTTTATCCATAATTGAAGTAGCCGAAGCTGTAGCAGATTTGCAAACTTCACTGGAAGAAGCTTCAAAATGTTCTGAAACTCTGGAAGTTACTGATGAAATTAAAGCCCCCATAGAGAAGTTCAATATTTTGCTTAGACAAATTTCACATGGAATCACAACAAGTAAAGCAAAAATTGTCGATGTAGAAAAACCAAAGCTCCAGAAAGCTATTCTAGCACTAAAAGAAGCTGTATTGAAAATAGAGAAAACACCATTTAAAGGTTTGAAGATTGTGGATGTGTCTTTGAAGGCACTTACAGCCACATTGGAACATGTAGAAGAGAAGCTGAATAAACCTATTGAAGCAGGAGAAGCTAAGGCAAAAGGCAAACAAATCCTTGGAATAGTAGCTGAGCTTAGCAAAAAGCTAAATATTGAAGCTGTAATTCTTGGAAACAAATCAAAAGAAGCTGTAGAAGAGGATGTAGCATTAGCAAGTGAAATAAAAGACAACTTAGTAGAATTAAATGCAGCTATAGAAGAAATGGCCAACGCTGACAAAGAAATCACCGAAGCTGATGTTGCAAATATTGAAAGCTTGGTTCAACCCCTGGAAAAGTTTTGCGTTGTTATTAATGAAGCTCAAATAGCTGAAACAATTAAGCCTGAAGTACAAGAAGCCGCAACTGCGTTAAACGCAACCATTGATGAAGTAGCCACAGTGGTGTTGAGCCTTAAAGCTCCTCTGACAAGATTATCGAAAAATCTTCATAAATTTGGGAGTTATTTGACGTTGAGACTGCCAACTAAAGAACCATCCCCTCTTAAATTACTAACTTTAGAAGTTGAAACTTTGAAGATGAGTTTTGGAGCTGGTGAACAACAATCACAAGGCAATGTTGCCAATTTGGAGCAGCCTATAGTTAATCTTAGTCAAGCTCTAGGTGAAGCTATCAAGCTTGATGTTACTCCAGCTGAAGCTGAATTGGCTCATAGGATGGTAAATCCACTAAAGAAGCTATGTGAAGCTATTTTAAGTCAAAGCAAAAACATTAACGAGGCGGCAAAAGTTTTGAAATCGACGATTGAAAAGGGGCTTCAAGTTTTACCTGAAACTCAATTTGCTAAGATTATAGAGCCTTCTTTGAAAGCTTTAAGTGCCTCGCTAGATGAAATTAAAGACAAAGAAGTGATTAGGGAAATTAGGGTTTTAAAAGAAGCTGTTGAAGATCTAAAGCTGTCTTCAGAACAATTGAGTGACAATTTGGATGAGCTTTCTTCTGAAGAAAGTCAGAGCTTACAAGAAATTGTTTCGCCCCTCCAAAAGCTCAATGCAGTACTTGTGCAACAGCCTGCACATATTCAAAAAGCTACAATCAAAGACTTGGATATTGTTGAAGTGAAACAAGCAGTTATAGCTTTGAAGCAAGTGCTTGAAAGAGTTGAACCAAAATTAGCTTCAATTATTGAGAAAACTCCATTGAAGTCTTTATGTGCTTCTTTATGTGATTTGTGCGATAAAGAAGAGTTAAAGGTGGTTGTAAAAACTTTGAAGCAGAATATTGAGGATATTAAAACAAGTCCTCAAAATGCTCTTTTCAGTGAGCAACAGTTAGCTGTAGCAGAAGAGACTCTTGAAGCAACTATAAAAGAATTGGAGACTGTTGAAGAACTCGCACAAAAATCTGAATCAGTTAAAGAAGTTACTGAGGCTCTTGAAAAACTGTCTGAAGTCATAACGATCAAAACCGAACCACAAAAATTTGAAATGCAACAAGCTCTTAAAGATGTTAAAGAATCAATTGAAAGAGGAGTAAGTAAATTTGCTGAAAATACAAAATTGAAGGTTATTGAAAGTCAGTTACAAGTTTTGGTTGCTACACTTTCTGAAGTTGAGATTGATGAAATTGAAACGCCAATTGAAGGTAAAGCCGAAGTGGAAAAGAAATTCAAAGAGCAAATTATTGATGAAATTGAAGTTTTAAAGCAAAATGTTGAAGACCTTCAAATTTCCTCTGAGTTAAATCAATGTTTGGAAACTCTGCAGCAGTTAGACGAAGCTGCTGTAGCACATGGAAATGAAAATATTGAAGCCATCATACAACCTTTACAAAAACTCAATGCAATTCTTGTGCAACAGCCCCAAAAAGTTCAGAGAGCTGAAACCAAGAACCTCGATAATGCAGAAGTGAAGCTAGCAGTTGTAGCTTTGAAGCAAGCTCTAGAACAATCGTCTTCAGTTGAAGCTAAATTAGCTTTTGTTATAAAATCTCCTTTGAATGCTGTATGTGCCTCTTTATGTGAATTATGTGAGAAAAACGACTTGAAAGTAGGTGTTGAAGCTCTAAAGCAAAACATTGAAGATATAAAAACAAAGCCTCAACAAGGCATTTTCAGTGAACAGCATGTTGAAGCCCTTAAGGCCACTGTGGAAGAGTTGGATGGTCTGCAAGAAGAATCTACAGCCGAGGCTGCTTCAATAAAGACAGTTACTGAAGCACTGGAGAAGCTAACTGGAGCTATGGTGACAGCTGCAGAAACTCCTAAACTAGAAGTCAAACAAGCGCTTGGAGCAATGAAACAGTCAATTGCAAGAGAATTCAAGGAATTGCCTGAAAGTAGTAAATTGAAAGTTATTGAAGATAAACTGATGGTTTTGGTTGCTACACTTTCCGAAATGGAAATGCAGGAGGATAAAATTGAAGCTGAAAACGTTGAAGTAGTAAAAACTGAAGAGGTAAAGTCTGAAGTCAAAGACGCTGACGCAGCAAAGAAAACTGATGATGCTGAAAAAATCGAGCCTGAAGCTGAACAAGAAGCTATAAAGGTTGCTGTAGAAGATCAACAGCTTGAAGTAAAATCTGAAGCTGTGGCTTCAAGACAAAAACAACTAGGAATCAAAGAAGAAAGAAATGATAAAAAAGCAGCAAAAATATTACAAGAACCTCTCGAGGCCATACTCGTCCAACTAAATGATCAACAAATCATTCTAGAATCCATCATACCTGCTCCAGAACTAAAACAATCAATAACCATTCTCCAAGCTGCACTAAGCCAAATAGCTTCAATACCAGAAACCACTGAAGACATAACAGCTTCAGCAGCTGCACAAATAATAGCGATAAAAGAACCATTAGAAATTTTAACGATTGTTATGGCAGAAGCCACATTGAAGCCTGAAATCGCAGCTGCTAGTGCTAAGCAAGCTATGGCAATGATGACTGAGCAAATAAATAAGGTTGTTGGAGAACCATGCAAAGCTGAAGCTATTAAGATTTTGGAACTGCCTCTCAAGTCATTGGTGGCTGTTTTAACAGAGAAACCCAACATTTTATTGGAGACTGTTAAAAATATTGCTAGCAAAATTACCCATTCGCAGCAAGTACTTGTAGAAGATCCTGTTAAAGCAATTGAAGCTGCCTTGGGGCAAATTAAATCCGAGGATATATTGATAAAACTAGAAGAACCTATAAAAAACCTGGAAGGCGAACTCAATCTAGATGAGCCTCAATTGAAGCCAATAATTAAAAGATTAAAGCAAACTATTGAAAATATAATTCATGAAACATCTCAAAAGAATATCGCTGAAGTCTTTGAAGCACCATTGAAAAGTTTAACAGCTACTTTAACTCAAAACGAAATCAGATGTTTACTAGAAAATCTACAAAAAGTCCCTGAGTTTTTAAAACCAGAAGATGATACCATTGAAGTTGCTTTGGAGGAGGCTTCAAAATTAACAAAAGATTTATCGGAATTTGAAGCACAACAAATTGAAGCTGTTAATGTGGCATTAAATAATTTGAGTCAAAGTGAAGAAGTTGCTGTAACAACAGAGGCTTTGAGTGTAGTAAAAAAAACAGTTGAAGAAACAAGTTTTTCTGAAGCTCAAAATCTTAAAGTCTTGGAGGCACCTTTGAAGCAACTGGCAGCTTCAATAAGTCGAATTGAAGAACCTCTGAAATTATTGGAAACAGTTAAAAATGTTAGTGAAGCAGTTAAATTTATAGCTGAAGCTGTTTCGCAGCCACAAAGGGCTAGTTTAGAAGAAGTTGTAGCTTCAACTGAAAAAATTGGAGTTGTTTTAGGAGAAGTGATACATAATGCTTCAAGTTTAGATGAAGCTGAGGCCTTAACTGTTATTAACGAGCCATTGGAAAAATTAAAAGTTGTTTTTGTTGAAGCTAAAAAGTCTATTGAGGTGGAGGGAGTTTTGGAAATAAAACCAGAGTTAAAGCGAGCTTTAAGTAGCTTCAAAGAGTCTGTGGAGATGACTTTATTACAAACATCTTCAAAGGCACAAGTTGTTGAAAAACCTCTTATAGCTTTGGTGGCATCTTTGGAAAAACTATCAGAGACAAAAGAGGCTGTTTCTGATTCTCAGCTACTTTTGGACATAGTTCATAAGGTTGCTGATGAATTGAAATCTTTGAAGCAAGAAAATATTGAAGCAATGCCTCAAAAAGCCATTTCTTCGATGCAAGAGTCTATTGAATCTTTTGAAGCTGATGTTTCTAAAGCAGCTTTATCAAGTGAAGAAATGGAAACACTTCTACAAATCAAAACACCAATGGAGAAGCTTGAAACAATACTTGTTGAAACTAAAGCGGCTGCATTGAAACCAGAAGTACTTGAGAAAAAGAAGCCCGAGCTGAAAAAGGCAATTATTAGCTTGAAGATGACTGTAGACAAAATTGTAGCTACTTCTCATTCAGCCCAGGTAGCCAAACTTCTAGAAAAACCTTTGGCAGCCTTAGTAGCATCTGTAGAGGAAATAGCAGAGAAACCTGCTTCAAAATTACTCTTGGAGACTGTCCACAATGTCGCCAACGAATTACAAACTCTCAACCAACAAAATATTGAAGCTATGCCTCAAAAAGCCATATTATCAATGCAAAAGTCTATTCAAGCTCTTGAAGCATCTCTAACTGATGTTTCTGAAGCAGTTTTATCAAGTGAAGAAGTGGAAACCCTTTTAGAAGCTAAAACGCCGATGGAAAAACTTGAAGCAATACTTGTTGAAACTAAACAGGCTGCTTTGAAGCCAGAAGTACTGGAGCAAAAGATGCCAGAGTTGAAGCAGGCAATTATTAGCTTGAAGATGACTGTAGACAAAATTGTAGCGACTTCTCATTCAGCCCAGGTAGCCAAAATTCTAGAAAAACCTTTGGCAGCCTTAGTAGCCTCTGTAGAGGAAATAGCAGAGAAACCTGCTTCAAAATTACTCTTGGAGACTGTCCACAATGTCGCCAACGAATTACAAATTCTCAACCAACAAAATATTGAAGCTATGCCTCAAAAAGCCATTTTATCAATGCAAAAGTCTATTCAAGCTCTTGAAGCATCTCTTACTGATGTTTCTGAAGCAGTTTTATCAAGTGAAGAAGTGGAAACCCTTTTAGAAATTAAAACACCAATAGAAAAACTTGAAGCAATACTTCTTGAAACCAAAGAGGCTGCATTGAAGCCAAAAGTACTGGAGCAAAAGAAGCCCGAGCTGAAGCAGGCAATTATTAGCTTGAAGATGACTGTAGACAAAATCGTAGCAACTTCTCATTCAACCCAGGTAGCCAGAATTCTAGAAAAACCTCTGGCAACCTTAGTAGCATCTGTAGAGGAAATAGCAGCGAAACCTGATTCAAAATTACTCTTGGAGACTGTCCACAATGTCGCCAACGAATTACAAACTCTCAACCAACAAAATATTGAAGCTATGCCTCAAAAAGCCATATTATCATTGCAAGAGTCTATCCAAGGTCTTGAAGCATCTCTTACTGATGTTTCTGAAGCAGTTTTATCAAGGGAAGAAGTGGAAACCCTTTTAGAAGTTAAAACACCAATGGAAAAACTTAAAGCAATACTTGTTGAAACTAAACAGGCTGCTTTGAAGCCAGAAGTACTCGAGCAGAAAAAGCCCGAATTGAAGCAGGCAATCATCAACTTGAAGATGACTGTAGACAAAATCGTAGCGACTTCTCATTCAGCCCAGGTAGCCAGAATTCTAGAAAAACCTTTGGCAGCCTTAGTAGCATCTGTAGAAGAAATAGCTGTGCCCAAATTAAAGAAATCTGCTTCAAAATTACTCTTGGAGACTGTCCACAATGTCGCCAATGAATTACAAAATCTTAACCAACAAAATATTGAAGCTATGCCTCAAAAAGCCATTTTATCAATACAAGAGTCTATTAAAACTCTTGAAGCATCCCTCACTGATGTTTCTGAAGCAGCTTTATCAACTGTAGAAGAAGAAACTCTTTTAGAAATTAAAGCACCAATGGAGAAACTTCAAGCAATACTTGTTGAAACTGAAGAGGCTGCTTTGAAGCCAGAAGTACTCGAACAAAGGAAACCTGAACTGAAGCAGGCGATTATTAGCTTGAAAATGACTGTAGACAAAATCGTAGCCACTTCTCATTCAGCCCAGGTAGCCAGAATTCTAGAAAAACCTTTGGCAGCCTTAGTAGCATCTGTAGAAGAAATAGCTGTGCCCAAATTAAAGAAATCTGCTTCAAAATTACTCTTGGAGACTGTCCACAATGTCGCCAATGAATTACAAACTCTCAACCAACAAAATATTGAAGCTATGCCTCAAAAAGCCATATTATCGATGCAAGAGTCTATTCAAGCTCTTGAAACATCCCTCATAGATGTTTCTGAAGCAGCTTTATCAAATGTAGAAGAGGAAACTCTTTTAGAAATTAAAACACCAATTGAAAATCTTGAAGCAATACTTGTTGAAACTAAAGAGGCTGCATTGCAGCCAGAAGTTCTTGAACAAAGGAAACCTGAATTGAAGCAGGCAATTACTAGCTTGAAAGTGACTGTAGACAAAATTATATCGACTCCTCCTACAGCGCAAGTAGCTAAAATTCTTGAAAAACCTTTGGAAGCCTTAACAGCATCCTTAGAAGAAATAGCCGAGCCAAAAAAATCAGCTCCAAAATTACTCTTAGAAACTGTCCACAATGTAGCTATTGAATTACAAACTCTCAATCAAAAAAATATTGAAGCTATGCCTCAAAAGGCCACTCTGTCAATACAAGAATCCATTGAAACTCTTGAAGCATCCCTTAAAGATATTTCTGAAGCACCTTTGTCAAGTTTAGAAGCTGAAACTCTATTAGAAATGAAAGCTCCACTACAAAAACTTGAAGCAATACTTGTTGAAACTGACGAAGCTGCTTTGAAGTCAGAAACTATTGAACAAAAAAGACCCGAGTTGAAGCAGGCATTGAATAGCATAAAGGAGACTCTAGAAAAAATTGTAGTAGCGTCTCCCACAGCCCAAGTGGCAAATATTCTTGAAAAACCTTTGGCAGCCTTGATAGCATCTGTAGACTTGATATCCGAACCAAAAAAAGATGAAAGTGCTTCAAAACTGCTTTTGCAATCGCTCCAAAACGTCTCCAATAAACTAGAATCCTTAAAGCAAGAAAATATTGAAGTTATTCCGCAACATGCTACAGAATCCATTAAAGCCCTTGAAGTATCCCTCACCAATATTTCTAAAGCACCTTTATCAATTGCAGAAGCTGAAACCCTTATAAAAATCAAAGTACCAATAGAAAAACTTGAAGCAATTCTCACTGAAACCATTCACAAACCTGAAACACTGAAATCAGAGCTTCAACAAGCCGCAACTTTGATCAACCAACTTGCTTTGAAGAGTCAACAATTGCAAATACTTGAAGTCCATCTACACACCTTGGCAGCAGCTCTACAACAAAAAGACGACAAATACTCACAGACAATCAAAAACTTGAAAATGCCCGTAAGCCAAATGCTGGAAGAAGCCAACATTATCCACTCCAAAGTGAAACTTTTACCTGAAAATCTACAACAACTTTGTAATCTACAAGCTCCTCTACAACAGCTCCACCAAGCTCTGGATTTCGCAGACAAACAATGCAAAGATGAAACAATAACGCCAAACGTAGAAGAAACTTTAAACAGCTTGATACCTCCAATGGAAACATTGCTCATTGAATCTGTCAAAATTAATTCGCTTATTGATCAAAATTTAGGCGAAATAGATTTGAAAAGTCTACAAAAATCATTCAAAAATCTACAAAAAACTTTGGAAAACTCCCTTTTACTTCCTGTAGAAAATCAACTACTTGAAGCTCTTCTGGTAGCTCTACACGACTTCAACCAAGCAGTTTCCCAAATTGCAGCTTCACTTTGCAGCTCAATAGAACTTCAACAACAACAGAAAATTGAAAACATTCTAGCCCCACTTACTACTATTAAAACTGAGCTTCAAAATCTACAAGCATCAAAACTCCAACAACCAATACTATCTTTATTAGCAACTGAACCTACTCTTGATTCATTAATTGAACAACTAATAAACACTGACAATTTTCATCTTGCAGAAGCATTATTAACTGAAGCTAAACAGCCTTTAGATGAGCTCGCAGCTGTTTTGCAGCTAATCAAATCAAACTCAGAACAACCAGAAATCTTAATTTTAGAAAGGCCCAAGATATGTGGAACAATCAAATCGGTCATAGCATTTATAGAGCATGCTAATTTTGAAGCTAAGTTTGCACCATTGAAATTCGAAACTGTACTGAGTAGTTTTAAAGACAAATTAACTGAAGCTGCTTCAGAATTTAATAAAACTAGAAATGATTTCAAGGCTTTGAGTAATTTGAGAGTAAGTTTGGAAAACTTTGTTAAAAAAACCAAAGCTGTATTGAAGTTTGAAGCATTATTTGATCCAATAGAAATGCTTTTGGAAAATTTGAGTTTAATGGAAGATATTGGGGATAATACTAGTGACTTCAATGAGGATTATGCTGCAATGGTTACTAGTTTGGGAGATAAGCTCACTAGCTTTTCACTTTATTTGGAAGATATCCAAGACATGGAAATTGTTGATATGTTAAAAGATACCAAAGCAAATATTCATAAAATAACCACTGCAGTTTCTTTGAATGAAAAAATGGAAATCCTAAATCAGTCTTTAACTATTCTTAATGGCAGTGTTGATGATTTGATCAAATATCATTTCAAAGTGGCTGTAGAGAAGCGCAATGACTTCCAAGTTGGTAAAAATCTAGGAAAACTAGTCAAGGATCTTAATGGCAGCTTATTCAGAGATACTTTTTTGCATAGAGCTACTAAGCACTTGACTAAGCTCAATGAGAAACTTGATTCATCTACTAAAAGTTTATTGAAGAACGTAGATCAATTTTTGCCAGAAGATTTAGATAAAAATGCTTCTGAATTAAAGCTGGATTCACTAGAAGCTTTAAAAGAAATTGTTAAAAATATCAAGTCTGAAGCAGATATTATTGCTCATAAAGGTGGTTTGAAACAGACTTTGAAGAAAGTTGATAATGATTTAGGTGAAGCAGTTATTATTATACAACAGTCAGCACTATTGAAAGATGCTGTCAAAGATTTGACTGTTCTACGAGAATGTTTTAAAAGCATCGTAAAAGATATTGATGAATTGGGTGATGAAGAACAGGAAGTTTTGATTATTGATGATAGTGCTGATGATATTGAATTGATAATGAAGCCAGAAGATGATGGAAAAGCACTTGAATCGGAGCTGGAACAAGAAAAAGGAAAGGAGGAAGCTGTTGATGAAAAAGATGATGCTGAAGCTAAGCACGGAGCTAAAGAGGAAGCTGAAGAAAGGAGGCAAGCAGATGACACTAAAAAGCAAAAATCAGACGACGCAAAAGACAAGGAGGAAGCTGATGCTAGCGAAAAGAAAGAAACACGAGAATCCGAAGTAAAAGCGAAAAAAGAAAAACAAGACGCTGGAGCTGAAGCAGAAAAAGCGAAAGAAGAGGCCGAAGCTAAAGCCGACAAAAAGAAAGAAGAAGAAGATATAACTAAAACAGAGAAAGAGGTTCAGCAACCTAAAATCAAGAAAAAGAAAGAGGTTGCAGAAGCCAAAACCAAGAAAGAAAAAGAAGAATCCGAAACCAGAGCGGCGAAAGAAAAAGAAGAGGCTAGAGCTAAAGCTGACAAAGAAAACGAAGAAGCAGAAGCCATGCCTAAAAAACAAAAGGAGGATGCTGAAGCTAAAGCTGAGAAAGAAAAAGAAGGCGCTGAAGCTAAAATCAAAAAAGAGAAAGAGGACGCAGAAGCCAAAACTAAGAAAGAAAAAAAGGAATTCGAAGCAAAAGCAATGAGAGAAAAAGAAGAGGCCAAAGCTAAAGCCGACAAGGAAAAAGCAGCAGAAGCTATAAATAGAAAAGAAAAAGAGGATGCTGAGGCTAAGGCTAAGAAAGAAAAAGAGGAAGTAGAGACCAAAGCTAAAAAAGAAATGGAGGACATTGCAATTAAAGCTAAGGCTGAAAAGCAGAAATCAGAAGACGAAGCTAAAGTCGAGAAAGAAAAGGAGGAAGCTAAAGCTAGAGCTGAAAAAGAAAAAGGAGAACTCGAAGCAACTGTAAAGAAAGAAAAAGAGGAGGCTGAAGCTGAAATCAAGAAAGAGAAAGAGGATGCAGAAGCCAAAACTAAGAAAGAAAAAAAAGAATCCGAAGCAAAAGCCAAGAAAGAAAAAGAAGAAGCTGAATTGAAAGCTAAGAAAGAGAAAGAGGAGGCTGAAGCTAAAGCCAAGAAAGAAAAAGAAGCCGTAGAAGCCAAAGCTAAAAAAGAGAAAGATGATGCAGAAGCCAAAACTAAGAAAGAAAAAGAAGAGGCTAAGGCTTTAGCCAAGAAAGAAAAAGAAGAAGCCGAATTGAAAGCTAAGAAAGAAAAAGAGGAGTCTGAAGCTAAAGCCAAGAAAGAGAAAGAGACAGCAAAAGTCAAAGCTGAAAAAGAGAAAGAGGATGCAGAAGCCAAAACTAAGAAAGAAAAAGAAGAATCCGAAGCAAAAGCCAAGAAAGACAAAGAAGAAGCTGAATTGAAAGCTAAGAAAGAAAAAGAGGAGGCTGAAGCTAAAACCAAGAAAGAAAAAGAGGCAGCGGAAGCCAAAGCTAAAAAAGAGAAAGAGGATGCACAAGCCAAAACTGAGAAAGAAAAAGAAGAGGCTAAGGCTTTAGCCAAGAAAGAAAAAGAAGAAGCCGAATTGAAAGCTAAGAAAGAAAAAGAGGAGTCTGAAGCTAAAGCCAAGAAAGAGAAAGAGATAGCAAAAGTCAAAGCTGAAAAAGAGAAAGAGGATGCAGAAGCCAAAACTAAGAAAGAAAAAGAAGAATCCGAAGCAAGAGTCAAGAAAGAAAAAGAAGAAGCTGAATTGAAAGCTAAGAAAGAGAAAGAGGAGGCTGAAGCTAAAGCCAAGAAAGAAAAAGAAACCGCAGAAGCCAAAGCTAAAAAAGAGAAAGATGATGCAGAAGCCAAAACTAAGAAAGAAAAAGAAGAATCCGAAGCAAAAGCCAAGAAAGAAAAAGAAGAAGCTAAATTGAAAGCTAAGAAAGAAAAAGAGGAGGCTGAAGCTAAAGCCAAGAGAGAAAAAGAGGTCGCAGAAGCCAAATCTAAAAAAGAGAAAGAGGATGCAGAAGCCAAAACTAAGAAAGAAAAAGAAGAATCCGAAGCAAAAGCCAAAAAAGAGAAAGAAGAAGCTGGATTGAAAGCTAAAAAAGAAAAAGAGGAGGCTGAAGCTAAGATCAAGAAAGAAAAAGAGGCAGCAGAAACCAAAGCTAAAAAAGAGAAAGAGGATGCAGAAGCCAAAACTAAGAAAGAAAAAGAAGAAGCTGAATTAAAAGCTAAGAAAGAAAAAGAGGAAGCGGAAACTAAAGCGAAGAAAGATAAAGAGACAGCAGAAGCCAAAGCTAAAAAAGAGAAAGCGGAAGCTGAAGACAAAGTCAAGAAAGAAAGAGAGGAAGCTCAAGCTAAAGCCAAGAAAGAAAAGGACGAAGCAGCAGCTAAAGTCAAAAAAGAAAAAGAGGAGGCAGAAGCTAAAGCACAGAAAGACAAAGAAGAATCTGAAGCTAAAGCAAAGAAAGAAAAAGCTGAAGCTAAAGCTAAAGCAGAAAAAGAAGAATCCGAAATAAAAGCAAAGAAAGAGAAACAGGAGGTTGAAGCTAAAGCCAAGAAAGAAAAAGAGGAAGCTCAAGCTAAAGCCAAGAAAGAAAAGGACGAAGCAGCAGCTAAAATCGAAAAAGAAAAAAAGGAGGCAGAAGCTAAAGCACAGAAAGACAAAGAAGAATCTGAAGCTAAAGCAAAAAAAGAAAAAGCTGAAGCTAAAGCTAAAGCAGAAAAAGAAGAATCGGAAATAAAAGCAAAGAAAGAGAAACAGGAGGCTGAAGCTAAAGCCAAGAAAGAAAAAGAGGAAGCTCAAGCTAAAGCCAAGAAAGAAAAGGATGAAGCAGCAGCTATAGTCAAAAAAGAAAAAGAGGAGGCAGAAGCTAAAGCACAGAAAGACAAAGAAGAATCTGAAGCTAAAGCAAAGAAAGAAAAAGCTGAAGCTAAAGCTAAAGCAGAAAAAGAAGAATCCGAAATAAAAGCAAAGAAAGAGAAACAGGAGGCTGAAGCTAAAGCCAAGAAAGAAAAAGAGGAAGCTCAAGCTAAAGCCAAGAAAGAAAAGGATGAAGCAGCAGCTATAGTCAAAAAAGAAAAAGAGGAGGCAGAAGCTAAAGTACAGAAAGACAAAGAAGAATCTGAAGCTAAAGCAAAGAAAGAAAAAGCTGAAGCTAAAGCTAAAGCAGAAAAAGAAGAATCCGAAATAAAAGCAAAGAAAGAGAAACAGGAGGCTGAAGCTAAAGCCAAGAAAGAAAAAGAGGAAGCTCAAGCTAAAGCCAAGAAAGAAAAGGATGAAGCAGCAGCTATAGTCAAAAAAGAAAAAGAGGAGGCAGAAGCTAAAGTACAGAAAGACAAAGAAGAATCTGAAGCTAAAGCAAAGAAAGAAAAAGCTGAAGCTAAAGCTAAAGCAGAAAAAGAAGAATCCGAAATAAAAGCAAAGAAAGAGAAACAGGAGGCTGAAGCTAAAGCCAAGAAAGAAAAAGAGGAAGCTCAAGCTAAAGCCAAGAAAGAAAAGGATGAAGCAGCAGCTATAGTCAAAAAAGAAAAAGAGGAGGCAGAAGCTAAAGTACAGAAAGACAAAGAAGAATCTGAAGCTAAAGCAAAGAAAGAAAAAGCTGAAGCTAAAGCTAAAGCAGAAAAAGAAGAATCCGAAATAAAAGCAAAGAAAGAGAAACAGGAGGCTCAAGCTAAAGCCAAGAAAGAAAAAAACGAAGCAGCAGCTAAAGTCAAAAAACAAAAAGAGGAGGCAGAGGCTAAAGCACAAAAAGAAAAAGATGCAACAGCAGCTAAAGTCAAAAAAGAAAAAGAAGAGGCAGAAGCTAAAGCACAGAAAGAAAAAGAAGATTCTGAAGTAAAATCAAAGAAAGAAAAAGCTGAAGGTAAAGCCAAAAAAGAAAAAGAAGAATCCGCAGTCAAAACAAAAAAAGAAAAAGAGGAAGCTAAAGTCAAAAGAGAAACAGAGGAAGCAGAAGCTAAAGCCAAAAAAGAAAAAGAGGAGGCAGAGGCTAAAGTACAAAAAGAAAAAGACGAATCTGAACTAAAAGCAAAGGATGAAAAAGCTGAAGCTAAAGCCGTAAAAGAAAAGGAAAAATCCGGGCTGAAAGCAAAAAAAGAATCAGAGGAAGCAGCAGCTAAAGTGAAAAGACAAAAAGAGGACACAGAACAGAAAGAAAAACAAGAATCTGAAGTAAAGGCAAAGAAAGAAAAAGACAAGGCTGACGCTAAAGCCATAAAAGAAAGAGAGGGAGCCGAAGCCAAGAAGGAAAAAGATGGTGCAGAAACCAAAGCTAAGAACGGAAAGGAAGATGCTGAAACCAGAGCCAAGAGAAAAAAATCAACAAATGGAGAAGCAAAAACAGACAAAGCAAAAATCAAAGAGGAAATCATCAGAACCCAATATGAAGATACACCCAAAGAAAATGGCAGAGAAGGTAAGTTAAATTTAGAAAAAAAAGCAAAGATAGAAGTAATCAGGAACCAAAAATTATAGGGGAAGTAGAATACAAATCAGACATACAAATAGACACTACAATCTACGCCACTGAGTCAGAAAGAATATTAACAAAATTCACTGGAAAAGACAGTTTCGAAGCTGACGAAGACTTATTCAAACCCACTGCTTATCACGGCCCAAGACACATTGGTAAGAAACCCATTTTCACTACCGACTTATCAGACCGCAGCTGCGCGTCCAATACTCGAGTGAAGCTGACTTGCAGCGTCATAAGCGAGAGCGAAATGCTAATAGCCTGGCTCAAAGATAGAAATAACTTAGAAGGAAATTCAAACTATTATCAAGGTATTTTATAATAACAAATCTTCAATTTACTATAATTGTTTTTTTTTTAGCATTTGACAATAATGTAGCAACTTTAGAAATCCTTAATGTAGTCAGCAAAGATGCTGGCAGCTATAGCTGCGTAGCACGGAACGAGCATGGATCAAGTAGCACTTCTTGTCAGCTAACAGTAACTGACAGCTTTGAAACTTTACCAGTAACACCCACTTTCACTCGAGCCATTAAGGAAAGCTATAAGGCTTCCAACGAAGAAGCTATTTTGGAATGCAGAATCAGATGCCATCCAGCACCGACCTTAAAATGGTATAAAGATAATGAGGAACTTATGGGTGATAAATATAGTCAGGTTTACTTAGCTGATGGTATAGCTAGATTGACTATAGCTACAGCTGATAAAAATGACAGTGGAAGGTACACTTGCAGAGCTGAGAGTGGGGATTGGTTCGATCAGGTGTCTTATGAGTTCCAGTTTAAGAGTAAAGATGACTCTATTAGACGAAGGATTAAGCAAAGAGAATCGAGCTCTAGCTATAGTTCTAGGTAAGAGCTGCAAAAGTTTGCAGAAGTATTTTTGATTGGCTGTTATTTTAGACCACCAACACTTCTTACCAATGGTAGTTCAAATGTACAATCTGCAACCATATCCAGAAGACCATATTTTTCTGGAGTACTAACAGATGCTTTGGTACCACATGGCGGAGTTATGGCTTTGCAGGTTCAAGTCAAAGGGCATCCAGCTGAAGTATCTTGGTACAAAGACAAACAAAAACTGGCTAAGACTTCAGCAAGACACCAGACATTCGTTGAAAGAGATATCCATACCTTACTAATTCCTAATATCAATGAATATGAAGCTGGAAAGTATATTTGCAGGTAAGGATGTTTAGTTTTAAATAGGGGCGTTGGATGATAATTGGTATTGTTGTAGAGCTGCAAACACGCAAGGCAAAGTTGAAACCTATGCTTATGTCCAAGTGATACATCCTTCTAAAGTGAGAGATGGTAAGCCTGCGATGTTTTTATCCAGGCCTGATAAATACCTTAGGCTCACTGAAGGTGAAGACATTAATGTTTCGTTTAGATATACTGGAGATCCAAAACCAAAAAGTAAGAAACTGAAAATTGAAATGGGTTTTATTTATTGAATATTTTATGTTGTAGTAACTTGGATGAAAGGTCTCACAGACATCACAGATAGCCTGCGTTCAATGAAATGGACATCAGATGATTATGTGAGATTGACTCTTAAAAGAGCTACGCTAGATGATACTGGAACTTATTGCATAATGGCTAAAAATAAAATAGGGTGTGACAGAGCCTTTTTCACAGTAAGATTAAGAGAAAGGGCAAGATCTCTTACCCCTAACCTGGAACCTACTCAAAATATTTTGGACGATATTCCATCCTACAGAGAGAGACTTTACAGAAAAGGTAATGGATTATAGTTATTTTTTTTATGCTTTTCTCTTCTGTTTAGATGTTCCTGGCCCAATCACTTCAGAGCCACTAATCAAAGACTCTGGAAGAAACTGGGTGTCTTTGTCCTGGTCCAAACCAGATCAAACCAGCATAGCTCCAGTGCTAGCTTACCGGGTAGACGCCTGGCATAAAGGCAGCGATGGAGGAGCTAAATGGAACACTTTGGGGATGAGCGGGCTGACAAGCTTCGATGCTTTCAATTTAGTCACTGGAGGAGAGTATCAGTTTAGGATCACACCAAGAAATAGGTAATGTAGTTTTGTTCTTACAGCAACTAGTAGTAGAAGATGATATTGTTGCAGGTACGGATGGGGAGAAAGCGTAGTGAGTGCAGCTTTCACTGTTGGCAAGCCCCAAGAGATGCCAGAATTTACTAGGATATTGCCTGGACAAATGAAAGTGTTAGTGGGTTCTGAGATTTCGTTGGAATGTGAAGTAATTTGTATTTCGAAAATGATGATATGACAAATCAAAATCTTTGTCATTTTTATTTTTAGGTGAAAGGTGAACCTTTCCCTCAAATCCGTTGGCTTAAAGACTCAAACGAAATCTTCCCAGAAGACAACAATCGTTATACTATGACCAATAAAAATGCAGTTTGTTTATTAACAATCCAAAACGTCCAGGAAGCTGATACAGGCAAGTTCATGTGCGAAGCCGTCAATAAAGCTGGAAGAGTTTCAACATTTGCCAGACTGAGTGTTGTGGAAGATTCAAAACTACTACTAGCAGACAGAAATTTAAGATTGTAAGTTTTTAGCTTTTTAGCTCACTTCAATGACAAAATCAAACTTTGCAGATTTCTAAGAGATTTCGACCACACAAAAGACTTACCACCAAACTTTACGATGCGCCTAAGAGACCGCAGAGTGCAAATGACTTACCCTGTAAGACTCACCTGTCAAATAGCAGGTTGCCCTGAACCCGAAATCAAATGGTTCAAAGACGGTCAACTTATACAACCATCCAGTCGCATTTTGGCTTCGTCAGATGACTCCTTCCACACTCTGGAAATTGATAAAACTACTCTGGAAGATTCTGGAGTGTACTCTGTGTCAGCTACTAATAAGTTTGGTTCGATTTCGTGCAAATGCCATCTAATAGCGGATAAAGGCATCAAAGCGTACATTCCTCCAAATTTCAGCACTCAATTGGAACCTTCACATTGTGAAGCCAATGCTGGAGGTGAACTAAGGTTGAGTGCCAGAGTTGAAGCTTATCCTAGTGTAGGAGTAATGTGGTATAAAGACGGGGTAAGAATTAAGCTTTGTTTTGATTTGTTGATTTTTTGTTTTGATTTTCAGTGTCGTTTGAGGCCCTCAAGACACTCGGTGATGACTCTATCCTACGATGGTAGAGTTGAATTGGCTATTGGACAAGTAACCGATAAAGACCAAGGAGTCTACACTTGTGTGGCAACTAATGTTGTTGGCAGAGCTGAAACTTGCGCTACTGTAGTTGTTTTGGGCAAAGTTGGCCACGTAGAAGAAGTTGTGCCTAAAGAAGACATTCCGTAAGAAATTCCAGGTTTTGTATTTCAAAATATATAAGAAATTTGTTTTAGATATTCTAAAGAACCAAAGTTCGTGAAGAAACCATTGAATACTGTTGCGTATGAAGGTGACAATGTTACAATACTTTGTGAGGTTGTAGGAGATCCTAAGCCAGAAGTGGTTTGGTTGAGGGATTTTTTAAAGGTAAGATTTATAAATAAAGGTCAAATCTAATGACTCATATTAAGTTTATATAGTCGGCAAAGTCTATTTTAAATGCTTATAAGGAATACAACTGTCTCTTTCTATCTCTATTAACATCACTCACGTTACGTAAATGAAACAAAAAATTTTCTAGTTGCGTAATAGGTTGATTTATTAGCGGTACTGAAGCATATATTTTATTTGAAGAAGCTTGTTTTTTGCATAATCTCGAGAATTATTGGGGTCACAATTAGAATATTTGAGGATGATTAAAAAAGAAAAAAAAAATACTTTCAGATATAAGTAGTAGGTATGTGAAAGCCCTGATTTATTGTCGAGCAAATTACCAAAACTTGATACTTAGTGATTTTTCGGGAAAAAAATTCCTGTAAGTGCTACTACTGTTCGAGCAAAAATTTCGCATTGGAACAATCACGGACCGCAGTAAATTTTTAAAGTGCTTTAAATCGCGTTTTTCAACGCCGCGGTATCAGCCCGAGATCGCATGTCGAGGCTCGAAATAGTGTTTTTGGTACCATATATGGCGGCACGTAATCGCGTTTATGGCTTCTTAAAAATCCGGTACGAAAAAGGTACAGGCTAGAACACGCGAACGAGAAATCTAAAAATTGCTTTTGAACTTTTCTTTGACGGACATATTTGTAGGGTGCTGGGTTGGTTTCTAGAACGGACTCGAGAGTAAATTTAGTTGCTTGCTGGTTAATTTGAAATATCAAGGTGTGAATTGAAAGAAGATCGAATATTGCCATAGCTTCTGGAACCAAAATTTGAGCAGCCCAATTGAAATACCAGTTCTGCCATCTATTGATTGATTCGTTGATTGATTTGATCAACAAGTCAAGGTTTAGTGATTCCCTGACACAGCAGCTAGTTATCTTATTGTATCCATTGCTTTGTGAATTTCTGCTAAAATAGGCTTGACACCTTCGCCAGGTGCAGTAGCCTCTTCATTGGCGACTTCAGGGGACTTTCCTCCTGGACAGATTCCTTCAAGAGGTGTCGGGTTATCCAGTAAGCGAGTGCAGGACACATGGGCGCCCGGAAGGGGGGGCAGGGGGGGGCATCTGCCCCCCCCTGGCTTTTAACATAAATACTTAAAGGAAAAGTAATTTGTGCACCGATCAAAAGATACAGAGAATTAACTTTTTTTCCCGTCCGAAATAAAAGTATTTCCAAATTGTTATATTTTTTAACTAGCGGACCCGGCGAACTTCGTAACGCCTCAGAATCAATAAATGCTAATGCGTTAATTAGCTTAATTAAATTCAGTTTTTTAATAAGATAAAATGATTACTAACAATAAATTATGTGGTTCAATAAATGTTCAAAAATTAAAATGGAACAAACCGCGCAATCTGACGCTCCAAACTTGGTATCGGTTATAAGACATGGCGCCGTATGCATATTTAGTGAATTTTCTTCATAAATATGTTTTTCTTTTTCTTTTTTTTTATATGTTCCAATGTTCCAATAGTTGTTATGTAATTCGGGCCAGACAAATCCAATATAACAAAAATCATAAAAATCGGCCTAGCAGTTCTGGAGTTATAGGTTCTGCAACCAACCCGACAGATAGATAGATAATACAGTTACGTCAGTTGAATGCGAAAATTTGAATTTTTAAATTTTTTAATAAAAAAATAATACAGTTACGTCGGTTGAATGCGCAAACTTAAATAAATGTGGCAACGTTGTTTCATATTGTCAAAAAAAGTTGGGTCATGTATGTGAATAAGTTTGTTTATAATTAATTAAAAATTAATTTTGTTTTGCGAGAAAAAATGTAGCCTATACTTACTCCCTTTATATAGTGACTAAGTGGTATAAATTCCAAGGAGATCGGTCCAGTCGTTCTTGTGTTCTAAAAAATAATACAGTTACGTCGCGTCGGTTGAATGCACAAGCTCTAATAAATGTGGCAACGTTGTTTCATGTTCTCAACAAAAAAAAGTTGGGTCATGTATGTGAATGAGTTTGTTTATAATTATTAATTAATTAAAAATATTTTTTTCCGGGATAAAAAGTAGCCTATGTCACTTCCCTTCAGATAGAGACTACGTGGTTTAAATTTCAAGGATATCGGTCCAGCCGTTCTCGAGTTATAAGTGCTTCCACAAAACACAACTGTGTTTTATGTATATAGATGTTTATTATATTAATTACAATTAGCAAAATTTGGGTGTGGCCCAAAAAAAAAATTCCGCCTGCGGTGCGCTTGCCACGATTCCCCCAAGAGCAGTTTATTTGCCCCCCCCTGTGAAAAATTCTGCGGGCGCCGTTGGCAGGACACTCGAATAAGACGCGTGAGGCTGATTCTGAGATGGGTATTTCATACCAGTGGTTTTTGTGTTCCTCTCGAATCCAGCAGCCAAATATCGAGGTTTCTGATATTTCGAATACCGGTTCAGGGTTTCTGATCCTTGCCTGGCTAAGGAGTCCGCGTTTTCATTGTAAGCAACGCCCGTGTGCCCCGGCACCCACGCAAGAGTTACCTTGTTATGGCTGGCTAGGGTTAAAAGGAGTTGCAGGCAATCCTACACTAATTTGGAGTTTTTTTTGGTGGCATGCTAGAGCTTTAATAGCTACTTGGCTTTCTGAGAAGATCGTGATATCCTTATGCACATATCCCTTTCTCAGATTTTCCCGCAGGCATATCTCTATTGCATGTATTTCGGCTTGGAATACGGTGGTCTACCTCTCCAATGGAAAATACCATTTTGATCTTGGGGATAAGCCATAATACTCCGGCACCGGTTCCACTGTCGGTTTTGCAGCCATCAGTGTACCATACCAACTTTCTATTCCGGACTAGTGAGTTTTCTGTTGTGTTTTCTCAGTAAATCTAGGTTTGAAACGGTTTGTGAATATTTATTATCGGGATCATGATGTGACTTCTCATCTCAAATAAGTAGAGAGTTTGTAACAATGTTTGGGAGGTTTAGTATGGTTCCCGTAGCAGCAGTTGAAGTGCTCCTCATTGTATACCCATTATGCAGAGACAAGCCAGTCTTTGAAGTTGGGATAGCTCCATTATTGCTTTGCTCAGTTCGACTTTTGGCCACCAGACTATTGATCCGTCGATTATTCTGGGTCTTACCACTACTGTATAGATCCAATATACTTTGTGGGGTAGAAATTCCCATGTTTTTCCCACTGGTTTTTTGGTGGCCATAAGCGCCATTTTACCTTAGTTGGTGCGATATGGGTGTTTCAGGTTAGTTTTGCATCCAGGATAATTCCTAAATATTTGACTTCCCGGACGAATTGTATTTGTATTTTCGAAGAACGTGGGGGGACTAGATCGTCCAGTTTTCTTCTTTTCGTGAAGGGGATTATAGCTGTTTTCTCAGGGTTAACACTCAGGTTTGTCCCTTTAACCTAGTTTTCCACGATTTTAAGCGCTCTTTGCATTTTCGCAGTTGTAGCTGGTAAATTTTTCCTTATAACTACGGTTACTATATCATTTGAATAACCCTGGGTATAAATAGCTCTGTTATTAAGGTCTACTAGGAGTTCGTCTACGACCAGGTCCCACCAGTAGAAGGGATTGGACCCCATCCTGTGGGCAACCTTTTGATACCTACATCCCCATTGTATCATTATTTAGAGTAGCCTGAACTTGTCTTCCACGAGGCATGTTATCAATCCATCTGCTGATGGTGTGTGTGACTCCGTGTCTAGAAACACCAGTGTTCATAGATTCGAATGAGGTACGGTCAAAGGGCCCTTCTATGTCGAGGAATGCTGCGACGATATTAGATCTCATTGATCTCAACGAGTGTGGTTCAGTTCAAGGGCGAACTATTAACCTTATTAATTGATTATGAATTGAATGTTAAATTGATCACTGAAAAATGAAAATTTAGGCTGAGGGCCTCTAAATTAGTGGAACAATGCTGACATTTTAGGGAATAGGGTGGATTCTATAGTGGGGTTAGGAAGTCTCTGGGGAGACGGTAAGTATCTTGGGGATTTGACCGAATGTGAGACTCACGGACAAGGGGGTTTTGACTGATGTCCACCTTTTGGTAGTAATTGGTCAAGAGCTTGCCGACAAACTGCTCAATTGTGTCGATCTGAAGATCGTCGTGGAGCACTTGGGTACGGGTGTACATTGGTGCGTCCACGATGATCTTCAGTACTGAATCCTTTGAATTTTGTACCTATGAGTCGTCGCACTGGTAACGCAGGTCGCCGACCCATAGGTAATAATTGACCTTATCATGGATTTGTAGAGAGTAATTTTGATGTTTATTAAAAGTAGGTTGTTTTTATTCAGAACGGGGTATTGGCAAGCAATTTGTGCCTTCGCCCTTGCCACAATTGCTAACGTGTTCTCTGCCCAGTGCAGACCCCTGTCAAAGATAAGGCCCAGGTACCTCACTTTACTGGACCATTCTATTGGGGTACCGGCAACTCTCAGCTTTTGATTCAGAGTTGGCCTCCGACGAGTAAACATAATAGCTCTAGTCTTCGCGGGATTGAGTTTGATTTTCCAATCCGCCATCCATCTCTCTATTTCTGACATATGTCTATTTAATCTTATTGAAATGATGCGTTCGCATTTTCGCGTGGAGAGGATGGCGGTATCGTCCGCGAAGAGGTAGAGCTGAATATGTATACTCCTCGGATAGTCACTCGTAAAAATAGTAAATAAAATTGAAGAAATTGGGGAGCCCTGGGGGACTCCCGCCCTTATACCGTAAAAAGCTGAGCGATGCCGGTCGGCCTCTACCAAAAACCTCCTGTTTTGGAGGTAGCTATTGATTATCTTGTTGAGGTACCTGGGGAAAACAAGCCTTCTCGTTTTGATAATGAGGGCCCTGTGCCATACCTTGTCAAACGCTTTGGAGATGTCCAAATATATGGCTCCTATGTGGTGCCTCTTATTGAATCCTTTCAGAATTTGAGAAGCCATGCGAGTGGTCTGGTCTGTTCTGTTCCCAACCCAGAAACGAAACCCAGTTGTTCGGGGGGAA